CTCACATGATGATAAAAGATGATGCTTTAGTTTCATACGTTTTTAGTATTCCTGATGATGAAAGAGATGAGTGGACTAGAGCTCTTCTTGCTGGTGATATTTAGGAGTGGTTTAGTTTCATGGTTACATTTATCTTTTGATATTGAATGTATGTACTATGCATTTCTCTTTTGATATTGTAACTAATTAGGATTATACTTCACTTTATTAAATTATACTAATTAGGATCCTGCTTGATTTGGCAAATGATGAATGTTGTATATAGGTGGATCTATTAGTTATGGTGTTTGACTATATTTTGGGATTAGATGAGCATCTATGTTGTGTTTTTTGATGACTTAAATATTTTTATATATGTAGTTGGATGATATATTAGTTCATTTTTACTATTAACAGGGGGCTAAAGTAATCATTTTACTCGATACATATCATGGTAGATGTTTATATTTGAGCTAGTAATAATTTATTTTTACATAAAAAGATCAAATTTTATTTTTTTACCATTGAATATAGTTTTTAAATTTTATCCTTCAAATTAAAAGTTTTTTTTTCAATAATTAAATTATTTTTTTGCTATTTTAATTAATTAAATATTGAATTACTTGATGATTATTAATTAAGGGTATTTTTGTCAAAATGCAATTTACTTCGATTCCATTTTGTTGTCAACCAAACAGCATTTCATTCAGGTTTTGATTCGATAACTCCAACCAAATTAAAAATCAATTTATGTTTTCAGCACATTTTAATTTCATTTTATTACCATTTCCATTACTATTCTTATTATCATTTCGTAACTGCAACGAAACACAAGGATATTTGATTCCCCAATCGATTAAAATAACGAATGAAAATTGAATGGTTAGTGTGATAAGTGAAACAAAGTGGTCAAGAATTGATAATATTATGAAGTAGTTAGGATAATTTTAAAATAATAAGAATGTGTAAAAAATAAATTTAATCATTTTAAAATCAAGCGGATGTATTTAGAAGGGAGCTAAAAAGTAAAACAAGTGTGAATAGAATCATTCTTATTTAATGCTAACATCTTAAAATGATTCAAAATGGAATTTTGTAATTTAATGAAGAGGAATGATTAAGCATCTCCAACTATATCTGGGACTTTCTATTTTGACAATTATATCTTTTAGGAGTTTCTATGTTTACTTATTCAAAATTAGGTTTTGTATGCTTACGTGTTTCGTATTTTACATTGCGTGTTAGGATGTTGTATTAATATTAATGGACCAATTTCTTGCCTCGAACGCAGTTTAAAAAGTATGAGAAATTAACTTAAAACACCCAGCCTTCATCTTCAAAATAACAAGTATACCAAGTCCACTCCAACACTCCACCAAACACAATCGGTTATATTTAATGCAAACCAATAGTGGGACGTACCCAAGGTGGGACGGAAAAGTGGGCATACAATTTTATAGTTATATACCTGTTTATAAGCAAACTTTCCTAAACATCCGAAAAGATTAAGGAGACGTTTGGTTTATAGATTAGAATTATGTGATTAGAATTATTTTTTATTTACGTGTATTTTTTGTGAGAAAAAATACTGTAACGAACCATGAACTATGATTCAAATCATGATTTAAATCCTCCAACCAGACATCTCCTAAACAACATGAACATAATGCAACGTATCCACAAAAATGACAAAACATCATCCAAAAAAGAAAGTAGATCATTTCTTCTCTATTTTTTTTTTTTAATAGGCATCTTTTTCCAAGTGGGTAAAGGGAAAGTCCAGTGTTTTAGTCCTAAATCATGTGTACATGAAATCTCTTCATTTAAATACATATATAAGAAAAAACAATTATCGTGGCTTTGATGTACATTTTACGGAGAAAAAATAATTAATAATTTTCGTATCTTTAAAACTCATTAAACTCAAACTGTAAGGGAAAAAAAATCTCACACATCATGAAAATAAAGAAACATATTAAAGAAAATAAAACAAAAACAAATAAAAAGGGAAAAAAGCCAAAAATACCATTTAAGGTGATACAAAATATTATTTATGTCACACTCCATTAAAAAAATTTAATTAATAAAGAGAAAATAAAACATGTAAAAGCATATTTAGTGAAAATGCATAAAAAAGGACATTGTAAAATTACGAGATTTATGATTTATTTATTTATTTTTTACACTTCTTTTCTGCAACATATAACATGACATTAATTATATTGGAGATGATTTATATATTAGAGTGTGAAGGAGAGATAAGAAGAAAAGTGGGGGAGAACAATTAGAAGTATCGGGCTTTCATCTTAAAAGGTTAATATGTTTAAGTGGGGAAACTCAATACCTTATAAAGTGTAATTATTCTCCTTTATTTTTCTTATCATTTCTCTTAAGTACTCTAATAAGTTATTAGAGTCCACTGTTCAAACGAGCTGATGCGATCTATTAATATACAAGATTGGTAACTCTTAACATAACACTATCTTGTAGGGACGTGTTAAGGGTAAAATACCCGAGTCCCACATTCTCTAAACATAAACATAACTATAGTCATATAAGGATATTGGGTCACCTCAATATCATGTCACCCACTTAAACATGTTAAATTTTTAAGATGGAAGCCTAATATCTTATAAAAAAAAAAGTAATTTTTTCCCTCACCTTTCTTCTCATCTGTTGTAAAACTCTTATACTATATATTAACTTATAATATAAATTTTATTTACCCTCCGAACTTTGATCTGTTGGTCACTTTGCCCCCGAATTTTGAAAATTTATCTGTGCAACCCTAAACTTTGAAACGTATTTAACTTTACCCTCTGTTTATTTTACTAACGTATTTGATGACGTGACAATTATTAGAGGTGTAATTTAATGAATTATTTACATAAATGCCCCCTAAAGTATGTATGATGGATATATCAAAACACATGAAAATGCTCTTAATCTTTGAAAACATAATAAAATAATTTACTTATGTGACATATCATTAAAAACTAATTAGACATTTGATTCTAATTGAATCATTACAAGTGATTAAATAGTGAAAACTATAAAAAAAAATATAAAAATGCTTCACTTCAAAAAATTCAAAAATTAAATAATTTGTTTTTTCAAAAACTAAAAAACCCAAAAGGAAAGAGGAAAAAAATGAAAGACCTTCATCCTCTTCAACTCCCGAAGTGTAGATTAAAACAAATTTTTACACTTAAAAAGAAGAAGGTTTTTCGATGTTTGTAGAGGAAGAAGGTTTCATTATTATTATTTTTTCCGATATATTTTTAGTAGTCTTTTGGATTTTATGACTTTATAGTGGCATGCTTTATCAACTAATGTTTTTTAAAAAAAAAATGAAAAACCCAAAAGACAATTCAAAAATTAAAAAATTCCTTTTAAGGAAAAAAATGTGTTTTGATATGCACTTTCAGAGCAGAAGAGGAATAAGGTTTTTGAAAAAAAAATTTCTTATTTTCTTTTGGCTTTTGATTTTTGGAAAAAAATTCATTTATTTAATTTTTGAATTTTTTTTAGGTGAAGAATTTTTATATTTTTTTTATTATTATTTTTCAATATTTAATCACTTTTATTAATTCAATTTGAATTTAATATCTAATTAATTTTTAATGATATCGACATCAGTAAAATTTTTATTTTGTTATGTTTTTCTTAAATTAGAGACATTTTGAATTGTTTCGATAGATCATGGGGCATTTTGAAATATGATACATATTTCAGGGGACATTTATGCAAATAATTCATTGAATTGCCCATCCAATAATTTTCATGTCATCAAATCTGCTAGTCAAATATACAAAAGGGACAAAACGACTAACATTTCAATGTTTAGGGGCTACGTGGACCAATTTTCAAAATTCGGGAGTAAAATGCCAAAAAGACTAAAATTCAGGGACAAAAACAAAATTTATCCTAACTTATAATATGCGAACTTGTCAAAAGTGTACAAGTGAAAGTTTGCATTCGTCCTCATTAATCGAGAATCAATGCTAGAAGATTACTAGGATTGATGTTCATTTTTTCTTTTGTTTTTTGTTTTTTTGTTTTTGTTTTGTTTTTTTGTTTTTTCAATTCTCTATAATACACGGTCCACAGAGCTACCATTTCTAATAAACACATGATTAATCATAAAGGGAAATGTTCTTTCTTTTTTAACTTTTTTTTCATGTGAAGTAGGTACGCCCCTATAAGGTTTTTTTTTTTTATTTTTTTATTTTTTTATTTTATTTTTATGGGAGGAAAGACAACAAAGAAGAACACAAACCTTGCTTGGTAGAAACTAGATGGAAAGTAAAGGAATTAGAAAAAAAAAATTAATTTGAAAAATTATCAAATTATTCTTAATCAACTGGTGAGTTTAACTAAATATTGAAATGGGATTCAACAAAGTAATTTGACATTGTAGTTAAAATAAAAGAATAAGTTACATCACATGATTCCTACTACTTAAGACAGATGTCAAATAAGTGAATAAGTTACACATCCAGTTAATATTCCTCTTATTTTTATTATCACTTTTCCCTCCGACCAAAAAATCTTCTACCCATAAGTGTTTCCTTAAGTTTATTTAAAAAAATATATCTATATTATTGACTGTAAGATTACTGTAGCTTGATTTTTTAATTCCGTTCATTAACATTAATTGTGTTACTTTAATTACGATGAATTCTTCTTCCCTGCGGCATATTTGATTTTGCCTGAACAATATGGTAACATTCTTGATCAAAAGTAAGACAGACGAACATAAAATCAAGCAACTATCATATATAAATCATGTAACAAATATGTATTGCTATGCAGTACAGAATACAATCCAAAAGAACCACTCTAAAGAAGTAATACAAACTCACAACAACAAATCTGGACACACATATTCCAGTACATTGGATTACAAGTAGCATCCGGCAGATACGTATATAGAAACGGCAACAGTGTATATATATATATTTATTGGTAGTGTATAAAATATAAATATTCAACTCTGGAGTGGTACTCCTTTAAATGTTTCAAGGATGATTCAGTTTCTGATCTTTTGGTATAATTGGGATGGTTGGTAATGTAGGCTTAGGCAGCTCAGGGACATTGGGGAAATGTGGCAGTTCCGGAAGCTTGGGGAGTTCGAGTTTTGGCAGCTCAGGCAAGTGTGGAACATCGAGCTTTGGGAGTTCGGGTTTCGGGACGTTCAGGAGATGGCCGGGAACAAGCGGAAGTTCCGGCATTGGAAGTGGCTGGTCATGATGTTCAGGGTGTGGCAATAAAGTTGGGAAAGTGGGAAGTTGGGGGATTTCTAGCTTAGGAATCTCCTGAAGATCGCGGGCACCGAAAACCATTGTGTTGCAGCAAAATGAAGAGAATGTGAGAAGAATCACAATGAGGAATAACAAGGGTGGGGGATTTTGATAAGCCATTTTAGTTTGGAACAAATTACTAGCTAGGAAAAAAAATGTGTGTGGTTAAGAAGAATATGAGAAATGTTGGAGCCCTCGTGAGGAAGATTGTTTGGAAACAATTGCTATGTGGGCTTTTTATAGCTAAGGGAAGTGAAAAAAATGGGGGTTGCTATTTAATTAGATGGTTGGGGGTAATTTGGTGAGAAAATATGGATGTTGTTGATCAACTTTTTACTTGCCGATTGAAACGCTTGAAGCAAGGTAAGGACAGCTATGAGCTTTTCTTAATTTAGTTTTCTTGAAGGTGGCGCCGATAAAAAGAGTAATGAGATTCAGTAAGAGAGGGAAACTCAACCCAAGATACCTCGAACCTTTTGAGACCCTCGAAAGGATTGGTAAAGTCGCATACAGACTAGCACTACCGCCAGAATTGGCTTCCGTACACGTCTTTCACGTATCGATGTTGAAGAAATATGTGACAAATCCATTGCATGTATTGTACCAGGAACCCGTCGAAGTGCACGCATACCTCACCTACGAGGAAAAACCAGTCCAGATCCTAGCTCACGAGGAGAAAACCTTAAGGAATAAAATAATTCCTCTAGTTAAAGTCTTGTGGTGAAATCACAATATTGAGGAAGTTACTTGAGAACACAAAGATGATATGAGGAAAAACTAGTCCGAGTTGTTCTAATTTTCGGGACGCTAATTCTTAAGGGGGGTAGATTGTAATAACCAAGAAAATCCCAGAATTTAAATAATACAATTTATTTATTTAAGTCAAGGATTTTTCCTGAAAAATATTATGCTATATTTTGTGACTGAAGGATTTATGGAATTAATATCAATATTCCTAAATTTTGTAGCAGATTTCATGCTAAGTTCATGTTTTACGATTAACTAAATTTGATCGATAAATTCTCGCCGTAATTTAAGACGGAAGAATTTCCAGTGCATATACAATTTGAGAATCTTAATTCCAAGAATCTCCAAGCACAATACGATGTTAGCAGCATACAAAAAAATCTATAATTGCCGAACAGTTAGGTTGAAGTCACGAGAAAAATACTTATTATAGAAGGGTACAATGTGAGCTTAGGAGTTGACACTGTCGGTAGCAATGTCATTCCCGGAATATAATGCAGAAAAGTTAAATTTAGAATTTGTTCAGTCTAGAATTAATTTCAAGACTTGAAATAGTTCGAAATATTACGTGAGTAAGAATTTAATATCGAAGTATTGGGAGATTAATATTGAACTGTAAATAAGTAGTAGAAAAGGAACCGTCAGAAACTAGAATTTCCTGTCCGCTAAGTACTTCCTTACAGCTAGTATAATTTTTAACAGTTTCAAAGAAAACTTAAGAGATGGGACAAAAGTACAAGGGGTAGGTTAATATTAAGATTGGATGAGATGTGATGGTGAAAGGTGAAGAGTACTCATGGTAGTTTTTTTTTTCCTCTCTCTCTTCACTTGGCCGGCCATGTTAACGGGTTTTAAGCAAAAATTTTGGTTAGTTGACTTCATGATGAGATGCATCAAATCAACTATTTAACAAAAAGGCTTACTTAACTTCTCTCTTAAAGTACCAAACCGGCCATACCTCTCTCTTGTTTCCTCTCAAAAAAATTTTCACTCATCCTTCTAAACACAAAGCACTAGTCTAGGATCTCAAGAAGAAGAAAGGGACCAAAGTGTTCTAGAAGGTGTCTAGCTAAGGATTTTCTTCAAGGGTAAAACTCTAAACCTCCTCTTTCTTGTTTCTGGCAAAATTTGGAATTTAGAAATGCTCTTCTCAAATTTTTCCACTCTTCTAGTTCCAAGTCATTAGCAAAACTTAGAGGAAGAAGAAGGTGATCAAAGTGTTTTTAGGAGGAGCCTAACCTAGAATCTTCTTCAAGGGTAAAAACTCTAAACCCTTCCTCTATTTTTCTAACAAAGTTTAAGTTGTGAATCATGGATGTAATTTGTGGTTCTTGAGGAAATAAGTTTGTAATAAGGGTGTGTGAGTTTTATGTGTTTTGAGGTTAGTTGGATTAGTATTATGTGGTATGTTTATGATTGGTTTAAGTTTGTTTATTTTGGGTTAGAGGTAAAAATTTTCCGGTTACTTTGCACGCGAAAATGAGGATCCTAGAGCAAGATTTTTCAGTTATTCAATATTTGAACTTATAGTTCTCGATGTTTTGAACGTTTTTCTGTGACTGTGACAAAACCCAGTTTTAACTCTAAATGCAAGTTTTAAGCCATTTTCAAAAAAACCACAATGCTGTCCAAAACATCTATGGAAAAAAAAAATTGGCAGCCACTATGGCAGCCAAATGGGTCCTCTAGAGGCCAGATCTCAGTTTTCTCAAAAACGATGATTTTAGATCCTGACAAGATGAAGAATTCCAGTAAAGAATAGATTTTTAAAATCTGACTTTAAGATATAGTAAATGTAGATTTCTGAAACTGTATAAATTTTAATCGGACAAAACTGAAACAGTTTGTCACACCCCTAAACCGGGGTTAGTGACGTGGAGGCTCGTTTAGAAACTTAAACCTGTTTGAGAGAGTGATTAGCAAAATAATTTAATTTCTTTCAAATCCAAAACATCCAGGTATTTCCAAACGAGCCTCTGCATTCAAGAGAAATTTAATTTCAAGAACGGTGGTGGAATTTCCAACCAAACCAGTCTAAAATCACGTCCCTGGTATCATGTCAGGAATTTCCACAGGTGTTTAGCATACATGAACATAAATAAAAGTAAATATGACATAACCACAGTCTAGTAATATTTAAGTTTACAATCCATAATCTCTTATACATGCCTTGAAATAAAAGATAAGAGGAAATACAACTCTTCGCTTTCCTGAAACAAGTCCATGTCACTGGTAGTAGCTACCTACTCGGCACTACTCCTCGCGTCGCCTGGAGGGGTTTAATACATTTAAAAACAGGAAAAGGTGAGCGAAAGGCCCAGTAGGATATAATTTTATAAAGCATTTAAAATAAAGGTACTCACGGTC